TCTCTCTCTCTCTCTCTCTCATCCCCTTTATCTCTCTTCTCGCCGACCACCACTCCCGTAGTCGCCCAGTCGCCACGACTAGCACCTTTGCAGCCGCAATCTCCTCTTCGCTTCCGCGACCTCATCTTCTCTGCTTCGAATTGAACACGCACAGTCGCCCTTCCTCATCTTCATTGAATCCGATGATCTCTCTCACCACCAACTGAACCTTCATTGTCGGAGCTGCTCAGCCGCAAGATCCAAATCCATCACCACCACTGGCCGTGAGATCTGAAATTTTGAAGATCTGAATCTGATCTAAAGTTTCAACGATGATCTCTCTCTCTCTCTCTCTTTGATCTGATCTGGTCTGATCTGTGTGTGCATATCAATTTCAGATTTTTTATTTTTTTATTTTTAAGTTGATGATTGTTGTTAATGATGATTGTTGGTATTGTATTGTTGTTGATGATGATTGTTGGTATTGTTGTTGAAAACAAATCTTTCTTTTTCAAATTAAATTTATTATTTTTTTAAAATTTAAATCTATATAATACTGAAAACAGATTGTTTTCATTATAATATTGAAAACAAATTTAATCTGTTTTCATTATACACATTGATTTGTTGATGATGATGAAACATACTGATTTACACATATTTGTTGTTCTTGTGTTGAACAAAATTCACACACAAAAAAAAAACAAAAAAAACTTGGGGATTTTTCGGGGTCAGGAAAACCCGATCCCCGTTAGGGGGCGGGGGCGGGATAGGTTCCCCGCCGGGGATCGGGGACGGAGACTTTTTAACCTTCGGGAATCTGGAACGGGGAGTATAATCCCTGGCCCAGCCTGGCCTGTTGCCATTCCTAGTGCTTCATAGTGTATTAGGCTAATTATTATTGTAATAAATTTTCATTATTTTCTGTTGAAATAACAATGGTTTGAAAAGTGTCTTAGCGCAATGATGTCTTAACAAATACTGAAGTGCATAAATAGCTTCTATATATTGCACTCAACTTGTGCTACATGGGACCTTATTGAGAGCTGTTGCATGCTCTGAAATTGTACTTGTGATGGTAGACTCCCATTGCTCTCTACTTCTATTTATAACAAAATACACAAAGTCTATTTCGTTTCTAATGAATTATTTCTACCTTTACATGAAAACTATAACTTTTTAAAACAGCGTATTTGTTTTAGGAAATTGGAGCTTGCCCGTGGATTTTTGAGCTGTTTAATCAAATCATTTGAATTCCTCACCTCCTTAATTTTTTAGATGGATTTAATTTTGATACTAGAAGGTAGTGATGCATGTTGGTGGCAGTTGTGATGATTGGGAGTTAGTGGTAGTGATTGAATTTTTAGTGACAGCCATTTGGCATTAAGTTGGTGGGAAAATGGTGCTGGTGGAGATGACTTGTCAGAGGAGGAGGTGGCAGTAGCATGGAGATGGTGATGGGTTGAAATGACATTGAAGTGACTAACAGGTCACATGAAGAGAAGTGATGCTAGTAATGAAAGGTTTCTAGAGTTGCTGATGAGTGATATAATGGTAGTGACGGATAATAGGAGTCGTGGAGTTCTGGTAGTGGTTGAGGAGGCAGTGCAAGAGTGTTGAAGGTGTTGAGGTTGTTGGTGATATGATAGTAAAGCTAGTGACAAGTTAATGGTGGTGGTGAGGTGTTTACAAATGCACAAGTTGATGGTAGTGAAAAATAACCAGTGTTGGTGGGTGGAGAAGGTACTGATGTTTGTAGAGGATGGAGATTACTAGAGAATGGTGATGATGCCTATAAAAGCAGCAGTGCTGACAAAGTGATAAGCTGTTGTTAGTGACTTCAGTGGTCATCCAGTGGAAGCTGATAGTGCATTAAAGTAGAGAGCTTTTGAAGAAATGAATGTTATCAACTGTTCATTTTGTAAGACTCGTCTTTTGAGGTCCCTTCAAACAGTACATGTACCTGCTACATCACTTCTTGTCCCTTACAAATGTCATGTTGTGTGCAATAAAGGGTACCTGCACATGGAAGTTGCTAATTTATAGCATATATATGTGGAAAGCTCAATATGGTACCAGTGGTGGTGGTGCATTGTCAGTTGCATGTCTTTCAAGTTAGTCATCAACATTTTAAAGTTAGATGAGATAAAAAGTTCAAATATCTGCTCTAGTTTTGCCTGGTAGAAGGTTACGACATAATTTTGGCTATTTAGCAAAAATAGTGACTTGTTAATTTAATGCCATCCAAATGCAATTCAAGTATCAAATTGGGAGAAAGAAGACAAATGCACCAATTAAAGGTAAAACCCCCAAAGGTTAGAAAGAGAAACCAAGCTCCACTCCAATCGCAATGTTTTAATAAAAAACTAAGTTTAATGGCATTACATCACCTATTTATAGACTATAACCAAAGTTTTTAAAGGCGAATGCGTACCTTGAGGCGATTTACCCCTCATGAGGCAAGACGTAAGCCTCAGGGCGTTGAGGTGTAAGCATTTCAAATTTCAAATTTCAAATTTTAATATTTACTGAATAAATTAAATATTTTTAAATAGTTAAAAAAATAAAAACAAAATTAAATATAAATGTGTAAATACTTTTCACTTTCATGCGTTGAACATTTTATTGCATAGAAAGAAGTTTTCCTTCACCGAAAGAGAAATCGATATTCTTAACTTCAGTGATTGAGCTTCTCACTTGACCATTAACTGTGTTTTTCTTGATTGATTATTTACTTAATTTTTCCTGTAGAATATAGTTGTAAAAATGGATTCTTTTTAATTTTTTATGTTTAAACAATCTAATAGACTAAGTTTAACAAATGCCCAAGGCAACTTCTGCATGTGCATACTCCTCACATGCTTATGCGCAAAAGGCGTAAAAAGCGCACTTAAGGCGCATGTCTAAAACTATGATGAACAAGCCTTTGGGGAGTAATGCCTAAAAATCAAAGCCTTGATGCGTTTTACCTTAGCCTCAAGGCGAGCCTCAAGAAAGTCTTTTAAAACTCTGACTATAACTAAACTATAACTAATAGGTCACCTAATCATAATTTTTTTTTGGATTAGCACTGGGGTGTCCGGATCAAAGCTCGACTATTCCCCAGGGGTGCAGAGGCCCTCGGCAAGGAGTTTTTCGCAACGGTTAATTCAAGGGTTTTCCCTTAGTCTGATGGCCCCAAGGTATTGTTAGCATCTAAGAGGTTTTGATCCCTGAATCTTGGAGGGAGAGCACACCTAAGACCCAAGGCCTTGTTATTAGGTCAACCCCTTGGGGTTGCCAGGTTAACTAATTATAAAATGGCATTACATCAACTATTTCTAAACTCAAGGTGACAAATTATCAACGATGCACATTTCAATAACAAAAGGAGATATATGATCACTTGTATGGTTTATTGCGCTCTCTCTCTCTCTATATATATATATATGACTTTGATAGATGATTGGTATGAAGAGGTGATTATGCCAATCATATGTATGTAAGCCATGCACTCCCCTGTTTTTGATCCAAGCAAGTCTCAGTAATTATTAGGCAAATGCTAACAAGTGTCCCTGGGGCATTGTTTAATATTGGTATTGGCATAAAAAAAACGTTGAAATTAAGTGAAAAGGTTAAAGAGTTATGAATTAAGTAAAAAGTCTATTGAAATAGATGAAAGTGTGGTGTATTCTTCAATTTTTTTCTCCTCTTTATCTAGTACCCTAGGGGCACTTGTTAGCAATACCCTAATTATCAAATGCTTATAGTTTGAAGTGCCATGTGTAAGATGGGTCTCTTCAAGCAGAACAGGAGGTGCATTCTTTTGGTTCACAATAGTGATGTATTCTAGTTTTGTTTGGTACATCAGAGGTCATGGCCTAGGGAGGGGGGAGTCTTGATGTATTCTAACATTGGTAAGGGTCATAAATGTTTTATTTTTCAACCTACTGTTGTGATTTATGATTTGCGTGAATGAAGATATCTCTAAATGGGTTCTGAACTATTCTCTTGATCTTGAATGTATAGTATTTTATCTACCATTTATCCACCTCTTAAATATCAAAACATTCAGTATTGCTGGATATATGAAACCTTAATCTTTGTATTGACAAAACTTTTTATATTGGATGAGACAATTTATGCACCATCATGTGAAGTCCTTGATTTTATTTTTGGGCCATTGAAATTAACTTTTGACAAGGTGATTTTATTAAAAAGTTACAAGTGCCCAATGAAGGTAGCATGCTGGCAGTTGCAACAAGTTTACACGAACCAGCTTCATTGCTTGGAACTTCAATTTCTTGCGGTTATTCCATTGAATGTTTATGATTATCTGCTTTGTGTGTTGCTAGATATATGAAACATTAATCTTCATCTTGTCCAAAACTTGCTGTATCATCTCAGACGTTAACGTTTATTTCCATCTTATGAAATTGTTGGTCCTTTTTATTTTTGGCTTCTAAATGTACTTTCTTCAAAGTAATTTTAAGAAATGGAACAGTGTCCTGTGTGAAGGTAGTAGGCTGGGTGCGAACTACAACACGTGTACAGAAAATAACCTTATATACTTTGCATCATATATTTTTCATATTTGAAATCGATCAGTAAATGTGCTTTTTAAATTTGTTCTTTGTTCCTATAGTTCCAGCAGCATTGTTGCTCAGCCTACTTCTGTACATTGTCTACTGGCTGAATTGTTCTTTCATTTCCTCATCTTTTGGTCTCATTGCAGCAATAATAGCTGGTGGACTCTTTGTTCACTCTCAACTGAAAGGTTTTCTTCAAAGTAATTTTAAGAAATGGAACAGAGTCCTGTGTGAAGGTAGTGGGTTGGGTGCGAACTGCAACATGTGTACAGAAAATAACCACCTATACCTTGCGTCATATATTTTTCATATTTGAAATCGATCAGTAAATGTGCTTTTTAAATTTGTTCTTTGTTCCTATAGTTCCAGCAGCATTGTTGCTCAGCCTACTTCTGTGCATTTTCTACTGGCTGAATTGTTCTTTCATTTCCTCATCTTTTGGTCTCATTGCAGCAATAATAGCTGGTGGACTCTTTGTTCACTCTCAACTGAAAAGTTGTCAACTCAGTAGAAAGTGAAAAGTTCAGACAATGGCTTTTTGAGAGAAAGGTTAGAAGTTCTTGTGCTGCTCTCCTCCTTGTGTGAACGTTTCTGTCATTTTCTTTTTAAAGATATTTTTATCCACTTGTCATTTTCTTTGCTTGTGAGGTTCCAGGTGTTCTGTGCTTTGTAACCATCTTGAATAACTTTCTTATTATGACGTGTATGCACTCTATCCAATGTTAGATTAACTAAATTCATTGGCCATAGTATGTTGCGGTATTCCGTATTGTCGGGTCCGTCTAATACCCTTATATCTGGCTTTTCCATAGACAGGTGGTCACCTATCTATGGTTAAAACTCAGACCCACTTTGTGCAAATTTTGTCAAAGGTTAGGTCTGTACCTAATTTACCACTCCTAGATCCCCTCTGAAGAGGACTAAACTGGGTGTATTTTTTTGAGCAACTCATTGGCATAGTACATTGTAATCCACTGATTGATCTGACTACTAACTTGGTGTTTTGACACCTGGATAATGTGTATATAAATGTTGTCATCAAAAGGGATTAAGGTTAAATTGTTGAGGTCTAAACTTTCAAGTAGTAATTTGTTTGTCATGTGTCTGCACTATGGTATAGATGTATAATTTTATATTTTCTCTGGATTGTGTGCAGTTATGCACGTGATGTGATGAATTTATGCATGGAGTCGCATGTCTCTTCTATGCGTGAAAAGGCCAAACTACCGTTGGTAAGTACATGTTTTCTATTGTTTATCATTCTAATTTCATATGAACCTGTCCAGATTAACATTTATATGACCATCTTAACCTCTCCAGTGATGGACTTTTATGTAACAAAAACAAGTTTGTGGTATAAAACAGAGGCACAATTCATTTGAAAAACATAATTGTTACCCATAATAGACAACATGTGAGCATGGTAATCATGTTCTGTCCTATCTTAATTAATACATGTGATTTGTTGGCGACTACAAATATTGAGATCCAACGTAACTCTACCTTAGCAAGATTCTTCATGAAAAAGAATAAAAAAACTTTAGGCAATGTACACATGATTCTATAATTTATATTATACAAGTTGGAGGAGAAACTTACTAGCAAATTAGTTGAAAAGCAAGTTATATTCTAACATTAACAATTCCATCTTCTAGTCAAATGTAAAGTACCACTGAAACACTACAACATAAAAACAAAGCCAAGGACAAAAAAAAAATGGAAGAAAAAAAGATGTACATAAGATGGTCACTAGCTACATTAATACTAGAATTGCTTTAATTACATATCATATAAGATTAACCCATTCCATGCCATGATTGTAATTGTTTTCTGGCACATAAAAAATATTTCCAAACCCTTCCATCCCAAACTCCCCTAGAAAAGGAGGTGGATCCATGGCTTCCATGGAGAACGATGAAGCCGGGCTGTTGCTTGAAACGCCATCGCATCTCTCCAGTAGCCTTTGTATCTCCTTCTCTGCCTCGGAAAGCTGTTCCTTGAGTTTCATTACCTGTAAATTAACCAATAATTTGTTATAAGATTGTGATGATTACTTGATTTGGTTTCCAAACCTTAGGAGTGGGGAATTTTAATAAAAAACCATGAAGTGGTTGGTGGGTGTGAAAATGTAGAGTAATGCTAGACATTTTTCTGAGTGTAGAAAATAAAATATGTAGACCAAAGATTCATTAATCTACATCGTACATTTTATTTTTGTGGATAGTTTTTCGAGGTTTGTGGTTTATCCGGAAAGAGTTATACTACGAATCCAGAAACTAAATACATGAATGAACACAAAAATATATAGGAATTGACTAGATTTTACAAAATTTATTGGTGCGCTCACTTCTAAAAAAATTGTTTGTCTATATCCATTGTGTTCAATCCTATGACTTATTTTTGTGTTCTTAATCCCACGTGGGATGAAAGGCCATGTGCTGTTGCACCAAGGCAGGCCATGGATCCAACACTAGCTAGCCTTAAAAGGCTTAAACAACTATGTGCGGACTCTTGTGAGTTGAGTTGCAACTTTTAGACCCTTTTGCTGTTGAATTGGGTGGCAGTATCCTGTTTTTCAGAAGCAAACCATGCATGTCCGAACATGGTGCACAAAAAATGTTCTTTATGGTGGATGTTTGTCTAGGTGGGTTTAACTTTGAAATTCTTTAGAGAAAATGAGTAGCCCTGGATAAAAATAAGTGAATAAAACCATAAAACTAAGACTTAATTGTGAAATGTTTTATGAAAATAATAGAGTAAAAACATTTTTGCCCTATACATATGTGACTTGTAATAAAGCTACTTGATTTCTCAAAAATCACAGTAAAGGGACAAAACCACTCCAACCCTCACCGGACTTCAGTTTCCATATTTGAAAATAAATTATTCACACAAAAATATTTATAATAATGCGGTGATAATATTTTTGAAATTATGTCTAGATAGTAAATCTTTTGTTTCGAAATGAGAGAACATTGCATATGCCATACCATTATCTACGAAATTATGTTTTCATAGTATTACTTTCCATATTTTAAGCAACGAAAGGAATATTAGTCATTTCTTTTCCTATGGTTTCTCTCTACCCTAACAGCTAGTTAGAAACTAAAGCAGCCAAGTGTAACATATAATTGGGCAAGAGTTTGAGAGAGAAAGAGAGAGAGAGAGATGGACCTCGGTTTCGAGGTGGCATTTCTCGACTACAGCACTGTCAAGTTCGGTCTTCAACTTGGAGTACTCCTCCTCCAGTTTCTTGTTCTTCCACCGAGCCCTTCGGTTCTGAAACCAAACCGCCACTTGGCGTGGATCCAAACCCAGTTCAGAAGCCAGGCGGTCCTTCCTCTCTGACTCGAGTTTATGTTCATTTCCAAAGTTCAGCTCAAGGAGGTTCGCTTGTTCGTCGCTAAGCTTCCTCTTCCTTGCTGCTCCGCCACCGCTACCTTCTCCCTTGCTCTTCTTCCGCCGCCTCCGTGGTTTCGCCTCTCCTGATCAACACAATTGTGGAAACTCTTATGTTAAAAGTACTATGGTTAAAAGTCTAAACCAAGTACTAAGCACATGATCATCAAATGCATGCATGAAACAGACCATATGTTTCATGTGCTAAGTTACTAACCTTGTTGGGGTACCAGCTGGGTGTATATCCCAGGATAGAACTGAGATATGAGTACCATTTGATCTTCAACTTGAGGATTGATGCTGGTTGTCATCCCTCTCTCTCCCTCCCCCTTTCTTTCTCTCTCTAGATTGGTATTATTATCTGGTAGGGAAGTGGATGTCTTGGGAGACTAGAACAGGCAGAGAACTTTATTTATAAAGGTTGAGTGAGGACTAAGGAGCTGCTGTCTTATGACTTTGGGAGTACATTTATAAGAGCAAGAATCCTCTAAAGTGATTTTTTCTTAAAGTTTTTTAGAGTGTGTGATTGTGTGGTTGAGATTTACTGGCAAGTCACATCAGAAAAATTGATGTGACTTGCCAGTAAATCTCAACCACACAATGTAGCACTTTAAAAAATTTTAGAAAAATTTCACTTTAGAGGATCCTTGGTCTATTTATAAAGCTAGCAACCAAAATTGGGCCTTGGTGTTTCTCTTAATTAACAAAAATGCCACCCATGAATCATGGATCACTTGATTGATTGACATCTCGTTTGGTAACAGGTTATTTTAGTAATTTTTTGATTTTTAATTAAAATATAAGGTAAAAAAAATTAAATATGTTTAGAGTAAGGACTAAGGAGCTGCTGTCTTATGACTTTGGGAGTACATTTATAAAGCTAGCAACCAAAATTGGGCCTTGGTGTTTCTCTTAATTAACAAAAATGCCACCCATGAATCATGGATCACTTGATTGATTGACATCTCGTTTGGTAACAGGTTATTTTAGTAATTTTTTGATTTTTAATTAAAATATAAGGTAAAAAAAATTAAATATGTTTAGAGTAATTTTTTGACTTTTTATAAATAAATGGGTAAAAAGTAAAGAGAATAAAATTTTTAATTTTTTAATATAGATAATAAATTTTTTAATTTTTTTAATAATTTTTTAATTTTTTAATTAAAATGTTAAGTTGCCAAATGAGGCCGGAGAGACCCGGTAAACGTGGACCGTGAGATTGAGAAGAACTGTCAATTGTTTTGCAATTTGTCTGATTTGGTGAGGCGTGACTAAGTGAATATGGTTAAATGGTGTACGGATTTTTTATTTTATATGCTTCAAATTCAAGGTGTGTCGAATTCAGCAAAATAATGGGTACTATTCACCTATGTGGGACCCTATTGAGTTCAACTTTATCTCCAAAGGACTTTTATTACCATTTATTTTTTTTTTTTTCGGTTGTGCATTGGTGATTGTGACACTACAAGGATGTCCTCTCAAATGACTATCATATCCTCAATAACTTTCAAATTACTCTCAAACTATTTCTATTGATAGCAGTGTAAATTTGGTCTGACTTGGCTCACCCATGCCCAGTCTCGGGTTGACTTATGTCGGGCCTCAGGAATTTCGGTCAAAATTCGAGGCCGGCTCGGTCTGATTCATGGGCCAAAAAATTAGATCCAAACCCAAGGGTATTCGTGTCTTGGGCCGGCTGGCAGGTCGGACTGATGGGCTTGGGTCTAGGCTCTGATTTGGATAGGGGTTGAACATTTTTTAAAATTTTTTTCACTAAAATTTTATTTTTTTCATCAAAAATGACATTAGGCCTCGGGCAGACAGGGTTTTGAGTGGGTCTTGAGCGGACCGATGTGCTGGGCTCACAGGCCGAGCCAAGCTTCACAATGATGACCCAAACCAAGAGTCCCGAGCTGGGCCTGGGCCTAACCGAGCCGGATCCATCCCGAATCGCGAACCATTTTTACACTCGCATCCATTGAAGACCCCTTTGAGCTTACATGTGTCCAAAATTAATGCCTTTTTTGTCGTTGACAACAAGCACACAAACATTGTTGGGTTGTGTGAATCTAGACACTAACCATTCTATTAGTAAGGGTATTTTTGGTATAATAGTCGTGGATGTAGCCTTTGAGTTCAATCATATAAACTATGTTCTTTATGTGTACGTAATATCTATCTTTCTTGTGCATTTGTTCTGATTAGATTCACATAATGTTGCTAAACTAAGTGGAGGGGGTGCTGGGGTTCGAAACCCAGCCAAATGAGTGGCTACTCCAAGGTTTGTACTACTGGGCAATGCGAACATGCTTGTTAGTTTACCAAATTGAAATCATGGTAAATTAAACTGCAAAATCTGTGTCACCATACCATGGGTAAGTTATGAAGTGTAGAGACAATGGAAGGAGTGTTGGGTGTGTTAATCACAATGCAAAATGTGAAAGGATGCACAATGGGAAAGGGATTTGAGATTTGGATGGTTGTAGATGAAACATGGCGGTGTTTGGGAACTTGATTTTTGAGTTTTTATTTTTTTATTTTTTTTCATTACAAGATAAATGTTTTACAAAATAAAAAATAAAATAAATTCAAACAAAATATCACATCAAATTCTATAATCATTTCACTTTTCTCTTACAAACATCACATTCAATCACAAAAAAACCCAACTATCTTCCCAAACACAATTTTTTTTTTCTCCAATAATATCCTACAACTAAAAAAACTTACAAAAAAACCCACTTCCCACGTAGTAAGATAAACATGCAATTTATGAAAAAAAAAAAGAAGTAAGATAAACATGCAAAACATTATTATTATTGATTAGCTTCATTTCTAAACTTTCTTAAGGTAGTAGAAAGTAATCTAAGACGTTTGAATTTAGGAAATCAATCAAACATCATGCTTATTGTAGAAAATCATTACATTCTAAATAATAAATATTAGATATAACAATAATATCATATGTCAGTATCATTAACTAATGAAAAATCTCATATTATGATAGTTGAGACTAATTGGTTGGATTATTAGGAGACAAAAGACATCCACCTAATCCCGTTTATAATATTTGATTGATTGATAACACTACATGGAATGATGTTATCATTTTACTCTATGCATTTATTTGATATAGTGAAAGTTAATAATTAGAAAATAGAATCTAAAAACATATTCTGTAACTTCTAGTGAACTTTTTTTAAAAAAAAATTATTTAAGTTATTTATGTTATATAAATTATAAGCATATTTCAACACAACAAAAAAAAAGAAAAAAAAGCCCCCTATAAACAACCTATGAGCTACAGTTTCAACGAGAGGAAGTATAGTTGGTTTTGGCTTTCCAGATTGGGTAAATCATAAGGGACATCGGGGTCAATTTTGGTGTAAAGAGGGAACCACAAAAAAGTATGCAGATAGATAGAGAGAATTAGGGAGTAGTAGAAATATGCAAAGCTAAGCTTAGGGTTGGGGATCCCAAACCTGACCACCTCGAAGTCATTAAACAAAGAGGTACGGTTGGCCTCTGGATTTGGATTTTGGACATTGTAAAAGTCGCTTTGCTGTCCAATTAGGTGGTATTCTCCTCTTTCTATGGCTACCCGCCAAGCCACTCCTCTTCCTCTCCCTCTCCCTCTCCCTCTCAGCCTTTGGGCTATGGCTTTAAATTCACTTGGCTCGAGATGATTGATGGGTTCAAAAGTTTAAAAAAAAAAAAAAAAACCACACACACACTTCATACATGCATCTTTGATTGGTTGGATGTCAAATGTGCACTGCTGAGCTGAGGATTCTCCCAAGTCTTACCTAAGCTCTTACATCACTCAAATCAAATGGGGTGATTCCCATTTTAAACAGCAATCCAAAACAAATAAATTAAAATTTTAAATTAATTTTTTTTTTCAGAAAATTTAAAATATGTAAATTGAATCAGATTTATTCAAATTCCAAACATGCACATAATATTGCTACATTTTAAGACCGAAACTTATTGAAGCAAATTGAGGTCATTTTCCAATTTACCAAAACAAAAAATAAAATAAAATTGAGATCATTTAATGTGATTGCAATATTCTTGTAGTCGGATCTTTTATTTTATTTTTTTCCTATCTCTTGCCTCAAATTATTTTATCATAATGACTCTCTGGAGATTTGGTTTGTATGATACAAAAGAGATTTGGGACAGAGATGAATGTTAGGATTGAGCTTAAAGATCACCACGAGTTGAGTTCAGTATACTTTTGTTTTGAAACAACGAAAAATAATGGATACTATATTAGATTTTCAAGACTTGACAAGTTGTGTCTATCTATATATATATATATATATAATAAAATAAAAGACTTAACAAATTATATGTCTAGCAGCCAAGGAGTCAAAGTAGGAAGAGAAGCTTTGAAAAATATCTATTTATCTTATTTTTTCTATTTATTCACTCTTCCCTTCAAATGAAATATTCTTTCTTTCTTTTTTTTCCCCCAAATTGTCTGCAACTAAAAGTCATTTTCTCAAGTACTTTGCCACCCCCCCAAAACTAAAAGAAAACCTCTCTCTCTCTCTCTTCTTCTTCTTCTTTTTTCTTGAATTTTTTATTTAAAATAAAGGGTGTAGTGAAGTGGGATTGGGGGCTCTCTGGGGGTTCTCCCACATAAAGGGTGTGGACAAAAAAGCAACCCCACTTTGTCTGTCCTTGATCAAAATGCTTTAGTAGTTGAAATGAACCAACAATATAGCTGCATAGAAAAATCAATATCGGAAGCTCAAAAGGGACAAAGAGCCAAAGGGAAAAATGGATGTGGAAAATTTTTCTACATCTAATATGTTATGCAAAAATCGAATCATTTCAACCACAAAACATTAAAGAGAAACAAAGTAATTGAAAACAATACAAAAATATACACGGTTCAATAATGCGCCTACGTACACTACACGGAGGGGGAGGTAAAATCATCTATGCACAATAAGAATTACAAAGTTTTGATCTCTCAATTCAACTGTTCTACAATACTGTCATACTCTTACACGCTGAAATCTTAATTGAAAAATATAACACATACCTTCAAAACTTTTTGCTCCCCTAGTTTGAAGGCTCCTTATAATAAATTTGAGTGTACAATTAAAATGTCAGACACTTCACAACATAGTCAGCAACATCAAGCTATACAGCTGTTTCTACTTTTCTAGGTGGACTGGGGGTTTGCACTTGCTTGTGAACCTCATGCCGTATGGATTCTGAACACATGGCTCAATTCATTCCACCATCACAAAATAGTACAACGAGTGGCAAGCGCATATTCATAATTTGTTGGAAGTAGGAAGAAACCCTTAAAATTTCATGTGAAATCATGAGCACCCATTACTATACCAGATCGGAATTATTTGCAGGGACATTACTAATGATGACAAAGGCAAAGCTAAAAGATTGTAACAACTCTAAAATTGCCCCGTTTGACGAAGAGAGAGTGATTTTAGGCTCTAAAAATAGAGAGTGATTTTAGGTTTTTAAAATAGTC